GGTTCCGACCCATAGTGACCCTGTACAGGGTTTCCGAGGCTGTAAATCTTTACGGGAGTAGAAAGCCTCATCTTTCTCCCACTCCGCGGCTGGTAGTTTTGAACCGCTGACCTTAAGGTTCGCAGCCCGATTCGTAACCACTTTGCTACAGTTTAAATGCACTGGTATTGGCCATTTTGAATCTGACCTCCGCATGGTTTACTATGCCTGGAATGACAAATTAAAGAGGAATGGTGTTGCATTCATTGCCAAAAAGAACATATCCAGATCAGTCATGAGGTACAACGCTGTCTATGATAGGATAATATCCATGTGCCTACAGGGAAGACCAGGAGCTCTGGTAGCATAATGGTTACGAATCAGGCTGCAAACCTTAAGGTCAGCAGTTTAAAACTACCAGCTGTCCTGCTAGAGAAAGATGAGGCTTTCTGATGGTATGAAGATTTACAGCCTCAGAAACCCTGTACAGGGTCGCTATGAGGCGGAATTGACTCCACAGCACATAACAACAACAACAACAACAGGGAAACCCAGTTAATACCACTACTATTCAAATTTACTCACCAACCACAAAAGCCAGTGAGGATGAAATAGAAGAATTCTACCAATTTCTTCAATCTGAAATTGATCAAGCATACAATCAGGATGTACTGATTAATCACTGGTGATTGGAATGCAAAGGTTGGAAACAAAGAGGAAGGATCAGTAGTTGGAAAATATGACCTTGTTGATAGAAATGATGCTGGAGATGGCATGATAGAATTCTGCAAAATCAGTTATTTGTTCATAAACATAGATTATTAATTATTTGATTATCAATATCAAGAGGAGGGCAGAGATGTGAAAAGCTGAACAGAAATAAACACCAGGGACTACAAACAGTATGTGTTCAATTAATTCAGTGTGAGAATGGAGTCCTAGTGTGGCGCTGTGAGATAAAGCACTCTATCTCAAGGTCACTTGAACAGCAAGGTCAGCGGTTCAAACCAACGAGTTGCTCCTCAGAAGCCCTATACAGAGTCACTAAGAGATGGAACCGACTCGAAGGCACACAACAACTACACACACTAATTTAGACACCTAACTGAGAGGTTGATTGTGTGATCTGTCCCAGTCTCTGCCAGATCCCCAGTGCCTGCTTGGGGTGCTCAACAGATGCTGACTAGATGAACCTAAACCAACCGTATCTGGGTGAGTCGGGCTACCTAGGACGAGTGGCTTAAGCGCTTTGGGTCTCAGTTTCCGCATCCGTAAATGGGACCAGGCTGTCCCTTCGCCACAAGGCTGCCTGAAGGGGCCCAGATGTTGGCACCCAAGGCTATGCACCCCGGACAGCTAGAGAGGGGCGGGGCGGGGGTGGCGGTGGAAACTGGGCAGGATGGGCGGGGCCACGAGGAAGGGGCGGGGCCGCGAGGGAGGGGCGGGAGGACAGTTCCCCCCTTTTGTCTCCAACGCTTGGGCGCCGTGGGAGCGCGCGCGCCATGGAAACGCGCTCCGGGGAGCTGCGGGCACCCGAGTGGGGGGCGCAGAGGCGGGGAATGGGGGGAGGCAGAGACAGGCTGAGACCGTGAGAGACACTGGCACCCAGGCCGCCACGCACAGATGGGGGCTCCCGATTTCGCCCCGCGAGACCCCAGAAGGGACGAGAGGGTCGGAGCTGACAGGGGCCCAGAGGGAGGAGACCCCACACCGTCCCCGGCATCTCCCGTTGGCGCCTGAGACTCAGCGACGCAAGAGACGGGGGCGGCCTCGGGGGACCCGGACGCACCTAGACAAAGAGCCCCGCCCTTCGCGCCGCGGCCTGGCCACTGTCGCCGTGGGGGTCTCCGCACCGCTCCTCCCTCCCCTCCCCCCAACACGCCCCACCCCCCAGGAGGCGGGGCCGCGCTTTGTGCTCGCCTCGCCGCAGCCCCCTCCCGTTGCAGCCGTCAGCGCCTCCCTAGGAGCTCCGGCCGCCCCAGGTGAGAGGGGCTGGGGGCCGCACACCTCTCCGCCTCATGCTCAGCGGACCCCCATTCTACTGGAGGCTCCCGTCTTGCTTCCTGGGCTGGGCCCCGGCTGAGATCCCCAACCTAAGCCAGGCCGTCCCCGCCCTCTTTGCTGAGCCCCCCGCCCGACTCCTCAATCCGGGGTGGGGGATCCCCAGAAGCCAGATGCTTGGGTAGGGCGCAGTGCGCGGAGCGAGGTCCCGGGGGGCACTCCTGGTCTCCAGCCTCAGTTTCCCTGGGCGTTTTCTGCGCATCTTCCACCTCCCCTCCCCCGCCGGCACGGGTCACCGTGCCCCCCCCCCGGGAAGCTCCCACTGTGGCTTTGTCGCCCTCCAGCCATGGCCTGCGGTGCTCGCGGTACCATGATCTCAGCCAAGGACAAGAACAAGACCCCGAAGGACAGTATGACGCTTCTCCCCTGCTTCTACTTCGTGGAGGTGAGTGGGGGTCGCGTTGTTGGTAGTGGGGGGAGGCCTTCGTTCTACCGACTCTTGGAGGCCCCCCTCCCCATGCTTGGGGACAAGGGACAAGGTTGCTTACAGTTAGTTGCCTTCAGCCGACTGTCAGGTTGCCCGGTGGGTTTGGGTGGGGAGGAATCAGAAGAATTGGGCTTTGCAGGATGAATAGGAGTTCCAGAGGTGCTGAAGGGGAGTTCTTTACCTGCCTACGCACATAGATCAGTAGCTCACCTGGAAGGGCTGAGTCAGGGACTTTTGGGAGCCAGGGAGGTGGGTTCAAATCCCGAATCTGCAATTACGACCCTGGGGCTATTGTACCCTAACCTCTTCAAGCCACAGTTTCCCCATTTATAAAATAAAACCAGTTGCCCGGGAGTGCCCACTGACTCATGAACACTCCATGTGTGTTGGAGTAGAAATGTGTTCCATGGAATTCTCAATGGCTATTTTTTTGTTGGAAGAAGATGCCAGGCCTTTCTTCTGAAGCGTCTCTGGGTATACCTGAACCTCCGACCTTTTGGTTAGCAGCCGAATGTTCCCTGTTTGCACCACCCACGGGGCTTCCGTTTATAGAGTAGAAGCAATAATATTTATAAGATACTTGAAGAGGCGAGGCGTAGTCATGAGTGTTTTTTTTTTATAACATAATGAAGGCAGCTGTGGAGGGTGACAATGAGGGATGTTTCTCTAACAGTCCCTGTGTGTCGTTCTTGAATGTCCGGGGCCTTCTTTACTCTTCCGAGGCATAGTCCCCTCTTGACTGCAGTGACCAGCAGATATGGGGAGTTGAGGGTCCTTTTTAAGGGAGGAAACTGCCCCTTTGGTGTTCACCAGCTTGGACCAGAACCCAGTGCTTCATCTCTAGGCAAGTGGGTCTGGAACCTCAGTGTGACTCTTACGGGGTCTCCTCCATGAGGTGGTATCTCCAGGTGGCCCACACTGCTGTGTAGAAAATCTGCTTGCTTTCCAAAACTGCATTAAAATTCCTGTTACAGCAGGTTCCGGCGTGAACATGATGCCAAAATCCCCAACAAAATATAAGCAAGCTGTCTGCAACAGTGTGTGCTAGGCTGGACTCCCTTGGTGGTATGAAGGGAGTTTTGATGAGTTACTAATCCAAAGGTTGGCGGTTCGAACCCACCCAGCTACACTGAGCAAGAAAGGCCTGGTGTAGCTGTCTACTTCCGTAAAAATTCACCTAACAAAATATTAACACAAGAGTTCAGTGTAGACCTGCTCCATGGGGCTATAAATCTGTATGGAAGCAGACTGCCGTATCTTTTTCCTTGGAGTGGCTGGTGAGGTTTGAACCTCTGACGTTTGGGTTAGCAGCTTTGCTATTGTTGTTAAGTGCTGTTGAGTTGGTTCCAACTCATAGCAACCCGGTGTAAGGTTTCTGAGAAGCAACTGGTGGGTTTGAACTGCTGACCTTATGGTTCAAACTGACCTTGCAATCCAGTGCATTATCCTGCAGTACCACATCAGGACTCCTAACAGCCAAGTGCTCACTTAACCCCCCCACACCACCAGGGATCCTTCCATACAGCCAAGAAAAACCTTGGGTGTTCAGTTCATGCTTTGTATTACATACATCTGCCATGAGCCAGGATCAACTCAGGGGCAACATGTTTGTTTTTTCATGGGAGGCTGGTTCTATGTTCAGTTGTAATTCATCCCCGAAGAAGAGAAATCGGACGATTGTATCAGTAGGGGTTGTTGTTGTTAGGTGCCTTCGAGTCGGTTCTGACTCATAGCAACTCTGTATAGGGTTTCCAAGGAGCAGCTGGTGAGTTTGAACTGCTAACCTTGTGGTTCGCAGTGCTGATCCTACAGGGCCACACCCAGAGTCCACAGAGGCAGCAAAAAAGCGTTTGATAGAAGCACAGCCCATTTCATAATAAACCACCCCCCAGTCGTCTCAGACTGAATGAAAGTAACCTTACTGGACAGAGAAGAACGCTTCCGTGAGGTGTCTGAGACTTGGAGGAAGTCAGCTGCCTTACGTTTCTTCCCCAGGAGTAACTGATAGGTTCGAAACTCCAGCCTTGTGGTTTAGCACCTCGATGCTTACCGCACTGTACCACCATGACTCAGCAAGCTAGCAAGAGAGGGGCGCTTCATCCAGCTGCAGAAGAGTTTTCAACTTCAGGGTGGAGCAGCCCTCTCCCTCCAAAGCCCCCTTCCTAGCCCTCCCCCTCCCTTGTCTCTTCTCATCTCTCCACAATTGTTCAATGCCTGATTATGCTGACTGGACATATCTCCTCATCCCTACCCTCTGCCTTTTACAAGGCAAGTTTCTGCTTTTAGATTTATTTCCCTGGGGATCTCTGCATCTCACCAAAGGGTGTGTTCGTTTCTTTTCCCTGCTATGTAGTATTCCACGTAGATGCTGATGGATGCTGGGTTGTGTCCTAACCTTTAGCTACCACAGATAATTCCTGTATGGAAGTCCCCTCGACCATTGCCATTTGGTATGGGAAGGAATTTATCTATAGGGTGGCTCCACAGGCGGGGAAGTCTGTGCCCACGTGTGTGTGTGTGTGTGTGTGTGTGTGTGTGTGTTGTGAGCACAACTTCCCTGTGTACCATGTTACCAGCACCGGGTGTTTAGCAGCTTTTTGGTTTCTGACCAATTGTGTGTGTGAAGAAGTATATCTCAGTTTTAAGTTACATTTCCTTTACGGTGAGTCTTTTTTTTTTCCTCTCCTTTTTTTAACTCAGAGGAGAATTAAGCACATTGGCAGGGACTATATGTAGGTTTGTAGAGTGATGATTTTTTTCTCTCAGGGACGGACTCATTCTCAGTGCTAAGGGTTTTCTCTGAGGTCTCCGGAAGGATTGAGAAGTGGGCAGAAGGGTTCAGGAGGCACTTACAGATTGGTGTGGGGTCCTGGCTAGATCGTGCCATGTATGAGCCTCACTTCACTGACCCTGTCTTTGCTCCAAAGCGTGGCTGGTTCTACCTCCAGATGTCCTAGGTCCCCTGCCTCCTCCCGCTGCCTTCCCTCCACCTCCTCCCTTCTACTACAAACCGTTTTCCTCCTCAGAGCAATCAAGTCAGATTCTGCCCCTCCTCAACTGTCCTAACCCTGCTGTAGCTCCCCAGTGCCCTGATGATTCTTACTTATGGCCCACAAGGCGGGGTCTGCCCCTCTAGACTTGCCCTTGCCTCTTATGGTAAGAAACCTATTTTCTTTATTGCCAGCCTTCTCTTTTCCTTTTCCTTTTTAAACACAGAGAATTAAGCACATTGGCAGAGGCTATAGGTGCTTACCAGGTGCCAGACCTTAAGGAGACAACCCCCTCTTTGAGACTTGGATAGACATTGGGGGCTTGACTGACATTTGAAAAGCAAACAAAGTTCTAGCAGAAGATTTTCTGTTTTTAAGAATGTGCTTCAATGTTCTCCCATGTAAACTATCACATAATTCACAATAAAACATTAAAAAAAAAAAAAAAGAATGTGCTTCACTCATCCATCCACCCACTGACCATCCATCAGAACCTGTCCATCCACCTATCTGTCCACCTGTCCACCCTCTTGATTTATCCATCCAACCATCCATTCAGCCGCCCATCTAGACATCCAGGGTTGAAGGATAATGGATGGATGAGTGATGGACAGACATGGAAGAGGAATGGATGGATGGTGGATGGATGAGTAGATGGATAGATAAGACAGGGCTTCAAAAGCTGTGGAAAAGTTCCATTATCTTTTCATTCTTTTTTTTTTTTTTTCCCTTAAATATTTTATTGTGAATTATGTGATAGTTTACATGGGAGAACATTAGTTTTACATTCATTCTATCTTATATCGTCTCATTGCCATGGTTACAATCCCCT